AACCTCATCACCAGAAGCAAACTTCCTCAAGCCCAGAACACACCGAAAGGATCCAAACCATGCCAGGACAAGAAATGGAAAATCTGCCAACACATCTCCACCACCCCCACAATTACTACACCCCACAACAGAGCCATCAGCATCCCTCGATCTTACAGCTGCACCTCCAGAAATGTAATATATCTCATCCAATGCACCAAATGCCCTGATGGAAAATACGTAGGAGAGACCAAACAACAACTGCGCACCAGAATGAACGCACACCGGAAATCTATCAAAGACAGATTACCAATTACTGGTGGGGGCACATTTCTCATAAGAAAACCACTCTCTCTCCAATCTCTCAGTCCTGATCCTCAAAGGAAACCTACAAAACACTTCCTAGAGATGAGCCTATGAACTCCACTTCATCAACCTCCTGGATACTAAAAATCATGGACTAAATATAGACATTGGATTTATGACACATTATATATAACCTGCCTGATATCTGACTCCCCAGGTAACTCTCCACTTTCATCCCCCTTCTCTCCCCCCTGCCTGTCTCTCACCCATTGACTCCACAATCTACATTTTCACTGACTACCTGTCTTGTATGCATACCAGCCCAGCCCCTGGCTTCTTTACTTTTCATTCCATCCAGGAAGAGCGCACACCAACTGCTGAAACTTCCTTAGCCTGACGAAGGGTTTTTGAACCCGAAAGCTTGCTTAATAACTATTCTCCAACCATTTGGGTTGGTCTAATAAAAGATATCAGATTCACCCAAAGAACCTTGTCTGCCTATGAAGCAAACCTACAAATTCTACATGGAAAAAAAACCTTAATACTTGAGGCTATTTCTACAGTTTTAAAGCTTTTTAATTTTTTGTGCAATTATGAGCATAAATATTCTCCATGCTGGCTTAGCACAATATACAATTTAATGTGTAGTACTTGCAGAAACTATTTAAAGCAGCTGTAAACAAAACTAGAAGCATTCTTCTGCTTTTTTTAGCTTCACTCAAGGACGAATGTTGTGTGATAATAAAATACAGAGTTCTAAAGCTAAAGCAGCATACATGCTTTCATTCATGTGTATTATACATCAGACAAATAAATGCAACAATACACATCTATTGCAAAATATAAACAAGTGCATTCAAGTAAAATGAAAGCTTTGATTTGAAGTTTGCTTGTTGCATGGTCCTTTCTTCAGGCTGTAACTAAACTGCCAGTACTACTCTGTGAAACCAGTTAGCTCAATGAGTTGCATAAGATCCAAATCAGGGCAGAATTGGATCCAGAATATTAACTATGAGCTCTCTTCCTCCTGTTTTAGATGCAATCATGATATACTTCATAAACATCTTTAGACAAGTGAGCATGAAAACACTTTAATAGCAAAAATAATAGTAAAAATCCACAAAAAATAAGATGTAAGATTAGTTCTCAATTCAGTTTAGAGTTTATCTATAAAATTCCCACTCATGTAACTGGATTAAGAGCAGCATTGGAATGATGTTTATGATTGAAGCTAATTTGAGAGCTGCTCAAGTCAGATACCACTTTGAATTCCAGTGGTATCAGTGAAATCGTACCAGCAATATGAAACCTGAAATCTGACCCTTTGCATCTATCCAAAATGCTAGTGACAGACTTTTTACAAGTAAATCATGGCAAAAACTGGTTAAGATATAAGGTATAGATGCACATTTTTATAGCATCCGATCTCTGCCAGAATTTTTTGTGATTGGATTAAAAATTCAAGATACTTTGATGGTTGATTGTTCTAAATAACATCAACCAAGAAAGTGGTCAGATGATTCTACTGCCCAATGCCATGTAAAAACTGTACAGAGGAGGGGAGTACTCTTCTCTTAGAAGACAATACTAAAGCCAAAAAGTACTGACTACAATGACCCATTGGCCTCTGGTTCTTTCTCAGGCTC